ATTTAGAACTTGCTGGCAGCCTTCAGAGAACAGCAGCCAAGAGCCTATGTAATGCTAGAGATTCTAAATGACCTAGGTCAAAAAAGCAGGATTTTGGGATCGATGCCGGAGTATACTGTAGATAAGGAAAGGTCAAAAGCCTCATCTGTTTTCTGGAAAAGGAATGGGTCTGAATTCTTATTTAGGTTCACTGATAAATAAATAAATAAGTAAATAAATAAAAAGAATTTCCGATTTTTTTTAACCAAGTCAGCCACAACTGTATTTGTAAGTGCATTTGGTGTGCTGGACATAGTATTAATGCAGTCAGTGAGTAAATGCATGCATGAAAAGAATAAATCTGATCTATATTTGGAAATAAGATCTACCCATCCAAGTCATTTGGCTATTTATCATCTGCTTTGGAGACTGTTCTGAATATACTGTACTCTGGAAGTTGAAGGACAACATGATGTTGGTACCTAAATATACAACTTCTAAACTTAAGTGGGTGACAGCACTTACTTTAAATCTCAGACCTATACATTTCTTATGAATGTCTCCATAAAGGTTTCCAGTCTTAGCTGTGATTTACAGGTCTGGGCCATTCAGCACAACAGCACAGACACATACTTCAGCACCCAAAGACCCCAAATCATACTCTGCTTGGAAACAGGACAGTAAACGTAGCTTACATTATACATATGTCAACCAGTGCAGTTATTGCCCTAAATAATATTGACAGCTGAGACATCTGCAGCAGAAAGATGTCCCTGCAGCCCCAGAACTGTCTGGTGTACATCAGCAAGACTGATCTTTACAGGAAGACCCTCTTTCCCCTCAAAACTGAAGTGATACATTTGTCAGAAACTGAACAACAGCTGCTCATAAAGTAATCTGACCAAGTCTCGTGACGCAATATCTTAGCTCCCATCTGGCTGGGAGAAAAAGAAGCCTCTTTAAATGATCCATTGCAATATCAGCATTATAAAACATATGCGTTGAACTTCTGCTAAATACCAAGTCCAGTAACAAATATGGTGATGTAGGTTTGTATTTTACTTTAATATAGAACTTATATACAGTAAAGATTTTTTTTATTTTTCCACCTCAAACTACCAGGCTTGTAGGTTCAACAAAAAACTAGACTAAAGTTTTTTTCCTCTCAAAACTCTGCAGCTTCAAATCTTTGTTACAAAATTACCACCTCAAGAAATATTCGTCCAATGACACATGCCAAACCAAATGCCTTCAGTGATTTACATCTCTGCAAAACAAGTGGACCTTAGTGATAGTTTCTATTAATACAAAGGAAGATAAGGCTTGAAATTAATTCTTTAATATTGTGCTTTAGCAAGAACAATGGCATCCTGAGGTATTCAAGTTAAACCTTGCTGAGCTTTGTTTCCATGAATCAGTTAAGGGCATGTGATTTCTGCAGTGTAGACACACACATAAGACTTGAAAAGTAGGAACAGAACTGGCTTTTACTGTCCGAGCTACTTTCTGTACACTGAGATACAGCCCCTGAGACAAAGAGTGTATAATCAAAACCAATTAAAAATACAGAAAAAGTGGATAAAGAGATGGTAGATTGTTGGAGCACAAATATTCCATTCATGGGAGTACTGTAGTGTTTTCAGAAGAGTTTTCTTTTTCAATTAAAAAGAAAAATTTATATAGGTAAACAAAGTGAGAAATGTGATGTCCTTGCAGCATCAAAGGAAGGGAGGGATGTGAAGCATTAAATAATGGTAAAGAAAAGGAGAGAAAGGAAGAGGAAGATTGCTGAGACGAACAGTAACAATAAGAAACACAAACCATTGGAAAGAAAAAGAAGCTGTATGATGAGGAAGGTGTTAACCAGAGGCACAAGAATAAGTGTCCAGAAAACAGATTGAAAATAGGAGGAGGGATAACAAGAGTTTGGTGGGACACAATGGTCTTGCTAGGAAAGCAAGGATGTTAGCTGTCCAAGTCATGTTAATAACACAGGGCTTGAAAAGCCTCCCTTTTGGTAAAATGAATTTCCATATATCTCTGAAAAAGGAAACTGGGGAAACTCATTAACCCCTGATGCTTACTCTATCTTACTCTCACCCTATCCTCTTGAAATGATGTACCTTTTTACCGTATGTTATTTGTGTTAGTAAAGGTAGTCATTAACGGTTGTTGTCTTTTTCACATATCATTATCACTGTTTTAGCAGTACTGTTCCTTGCTATAGTTGGTTTTATGCTAGCTTTCAGAGAGCGCCCTTTGCTTTACCCCTTTGCAAATGTCAATTTAATAAATTTCCTTTAAAAGCTCCTGAAACATTAAAGCATTAGCATCAGTAGTAAGCAGATGTTAATTTTTTTTTTTGCCTCAAGCTACACCGGCCTCGTTCAAAGAACTTGAAATATCTGAAATACCTGAACTCTCATACAGCCATATATTTAGTACTATTTGATACGACCTTAGGTTACAAAAAAAAAAGAAAAAAAAAAGTCCAAGAGAGGAAACTGGGTTATACTGACATGTCTCCCACTGCCTTCCCGAATAACCTATGTTTAATAAGTCTGAAAAGTTTCAGTGGGTCAGATTCCCCAAATAATTTGTTTAACGATGAATGATATTTCCCATGTTGCTGAGATCACTTTTGGACCGTTACTCCATAAGAAGAAACCCAAAACCCAACACTGTAAAAGATCAGAAATAATTATAGTATTATTGTCTACTTTTACCAAAACATGAGGAAAACCTGTATTTCCCCATGTTTGGTAAACTGTGATCCCATAAACTCTCTGAGGCTAGCATACTGGAAAGTAAGTGCTCTTCACTTAGAATCAGATAGAACATCTGATCTTGTAAAATAATAGATATGTAAGTGCATTTGTTAGACTTGTTTAGAAACCCACAGGCTGTTATGAAAGTCTGATTCATTTATTTTTTACTTAAAGCGTCAGCTTTGTGAAACAAAAGGGAAACAAAGCCATCATGACTAACAATGTTTGTAGTTATTCTTTGTGAGAATGAAACAGAAGTTCCTGGTATCTGAAAGTAACCTGGATGTCTGCAACTGCATAAGAATCGTTTACACTAGACATTTTTCTATGCAGCACATTAAGTTATTGTGTTTCGATTTTTTAATGAATACTTGGATGTATATTAATGAATACTAATTACCCTGAGAAATCATTGATTATTCATGAAGGATAAAAAGTGAAGGCATGTATTATGGAAGCTGATTTGTGCATTTAAACATGTCTACTGTGGTCAAGGCTTGCATCTCTGGATGGAAAAAGCAAAAACCCTAGTAAATGTCATATAAATGTAACATGAAAAAACAAGTCATCCATACAGTACACCAAAATGAGGATCATTGCCTGTAACTACTTCCATAGCCAACTTCCCTTCCAAGAGAACAGTGGGCATGTTGAGTCACTACTATAAGAAACCATTCCTTTCAGAAATATTTTTCAAGAATGAGAATATACTGATAGACATTTAAAACATTAGTACATTCCCCCAAAACCCCAGGTCATTTTCCCATATGCTTATGTTTTTGCAAGAAGGAAAATTTAGTATTTCTGACTGAAAAAGCTAATGGAATAAGTAACAAACCCGTAGGTAACCAACGTTTCCCTGAATTGCTATTTCGGGGAGGAGTGGAGTGGGATGGGGGCTTGGAAGGTATTTTTGAATAAAAATATGCATCTTCATATTGAGGTGCTGAGCTTTTAATGCAACATATACTACTATGAATTGTATTACCAACACTGAATGATAACCAATGATAAAGATACTTAAACAGTACTGACTGAAAACAACAGTGCAACTACTTCACATTTTTATAAACTGCCTAAGAGTTACACATCTGTTTAAGACAGCAAGATTTGAAATCACTTAACTTTCCATTGATCTTTTCTCCCCGTTATGGCAGATTTGTAAACACAATGTATTAATTTTTGTGGGTAATAAAGAGAACAGGGACATGTTTAATACAACAGATCTTAATTTGCTCCCTTACAGCATTAGAAAGTTTGAGCTGTTTACTTGTTCCTTAATTACGTCCCCAGAGAGCATAGTTATTAAGTGTGGTCTTGACTGAGACTATCAAATTTGGTTCACTTTAGGAATTTTAGGATGGATACGCCATCTGTACAGTAGGTCATTAACTAACTCCAGGCTGCGTAAGCACCTCTGACTTTTCCTTATTAATCATTTAATCTTTCAATTCAGCCTACCTCGTCTACTCTCTCTCTTTTCTTTCCCAATATAAATCCTCACACATCAGTCTACTTCTTTTGCTATGTCACATTTTCTATCACCCCATACAAAATGCATCCTCTCCCCCTTCAAATGCTACTTCCCCCTCCAGCATCTATGAATCTAATTTTCTTGCCAGTTGTATTGAACCAGCACCCCACTCACCCTTTTCCCCCACAGAGCTGCTAATGCTGCGAAAGCAACTCTCCAAACCCCACCAGCCGCTGAGAATAACATTACACACGCCAGTCACAGCCCTCCGTCTGATGGTAACCTGGAAAGCTGCATGCATATTCTTAACTCACATTTCAAAAATCCCTTTCTGTTTCCTTTAAACCTTAGGACTTTGAAGTCTTACATCTACAAGTTCCTGCTTGTGAAAGAATGTCACTCCTTATTCAGAATGAAGTTTCACTGTGATGTACTTTTGCTTTTCAGCTGCTGTGCTTCCTCAAATAAACATACTAAGCACAAAAGGGGAAAGTGCGCTTGCCTTTCCTCCTCCCTTCTGACACCCCTGCACGTTTCTGAGATTATTTTTTTTGTTCAAGCTTCAGAGAACCACCGAATCGGAAATAACTGCAGCCATTCATAAGAAGCTGCTTAAAACCTGAATCCCTCCAGAGAAGATTCCAGGCTGGGACACCTGCCTCTCTGCCCCCAGCCCTCTCCTGCTGCCGTGCTGCAGTGCAGGCTCTCACTTCACTCAGTTTGAACTTTCAATGCAGAAATTCGGCATGATGCAGTCAGCCAGATAAAGCAGCACTTACCTTAATTGAAATCTTTTCTCTGATAAAGCTGGAGCATCAGTCAAATCAACAGCGATTTGGGGATAATCTAAGTTGCAATCAACATCCTCTGGATAGCTGCATACTGCTCTGCCTTTTTTTTTCCCCGTTGATGTTGAACTCCTCACAGTCTAAAGGAGAGAGAGAGAAAGATAAGCTGAAATCCTCAGAGGATCCTAGGGAGTGAGAGAAGAGGCACCAAAGCAATGTTTCTTAACATGAGATTCTCAGCAAGCGTGCTCAGGTCTGGCAGATCGCGCAACTGCTGTGATAGGCTCCTGTCATGTCCCCCGAGCCGTGAGATGATCATTGACCTGATTAGCTCTGAACACTCCCTACATGCAGGGAAAGCACTGAGAGGATTGGTGGGTCGCGAGGGAATTGGGAAAGGCACCAGGGCCACTTGGGAATCTTCATTCTTCCAGACTAATGGATGTGCTGCAGCTGAGGCTGGAATTTGTGAGGAGGTTATGCACAATGTTAACCATCTGAGGACTTAAACAAATGTGGTTTTACATGCTGTTTCTCAAGGTGCACCAGCATTCAACACAGGGTATAGCTGAGTAATTAGGCGCTAATGTAGCCATTTCATAATACAAGGCTCACTCCATGAGATGTTCTGTAAGCTGAGAGATAAAGTGGATTCATACATTTGTCTCTGACCCTGGAGACAATAGCAGTTAATAAGTAGAATAAGTGAAATTAGCATGGTGGGCTCATGTTAGCCCCCAGATGGCAATCAATCACCATAGAAAGAAAAGAACAACAAACCCCAAACAAACTAGAACTATTTAACAAGTGCATGTGGCAATTTAAATACAATGTAGAGAAAGAATGCCAAATTGCTACAGAAAGGACTCTTCAACATAGAGATAAAATCAGTAGCAACTCACAACAATACACATTTTCTTCTATGCTTGTAGTAGAGGGAAAAAAGCAAGGAATGCATTTAAAGGACCTAATCTGCCTTTTACTTATATTGATAAAAATAAGTCTTTTAAAAATGGCAGTTAATTTAGATTGGAAAAAAAGAAAAAAGCTCTGAGTGAAAGAAGAATGAAATGTATTTGTTATCTGTGTTTAATTCTAAGGTATTATGAAAAGTACACTTTTATGTACTTTTTTTGTACCCCTTCTGCGGTCAAATAAGTTTAGCCAAAGCATGTCACCTTTTAGGACTATTCTCATTTGCTAATTTTCCTGCTTCTTGGATGAGAATTATGGCCCTCGTCAGATTTATCCATGGAAATACCAGTCTGTGACTGAGAGGAGTTCACAGAATAACATATTTAGTAACAGTAGTCTGATGCACCAATATAAAATGGATGAATTGTTATTTTGATATAAGAAGAAGGTTTGGAACCTATAATAGCATTGTTAGTTCATATGTAGTTATCATAAGTTGCTCCATGAATGGTGAAACATGGATATTCACAAATATATACAAAATCCTTAATCACATTTATTTATTTGGGTCTGGATTTATCCAGTTTTCAGGTAAATTAGTCATAATAATATATTATTAGCATAAGCAGTCAAGAAAGCAATTTTTAAGTTGTTAGGCAAATAGCAGAAGTGGATTACATATTTATTTTCTGAATCACATCAGAAATATTATTACAGAGAAAACAGTAGCATGTGACCCAGATCACTCAGAAGCAATGAGAAAAGTTTGAATCTCCAATTTATTTAACAAGACACAAAAGACAATGATTTCTCACCCTAACTACAGTCACCCTAACTGTAGTGCCTGAGAGACAGAAAATCTAAGTGTCCCATACAGAAGCAATAGGAAGAGACCAGCTTTTCTACACCAATTTTCAGGATCCTCCCCTGGAAGTGCCTCTTTCTTCCCACTGATCAAAAGCCCCTCCATGTGCAAAATAAGATTGTCCTTAGCAATATTTCATATTCAGCAATTTTTTTAGAATATAGATTATCTGTTAATACAATTTGTGGAATGCCTATCACCCAGGGAGTCCAGTTGCACCTGGAACTAATGGTAACAAAATAATAATCAAATAAGAAAGCTTTTAATTTCATTAATATGAAACATATCACATTCTTTAGCTTGACTAAATGGTTTTCATGTGTCAAGACTAAGGTGACTCGCTGCTACAGCCCTCACTAAAAAAGAGGTTGCTTTCCTTACCTATAAATTTGTACCACATAATGGGCAGCAAGTCATCACAACATTTATGATCTTATCTGTTCTGACATGGCACCCCTCATGAAACAGGTAAACCACAGACACACTGTATTATTTATGATTTCAAATACAATGGAAGAAATTAAACATGAAAAAGACCTTATTAAGACAATTTCTTTGCCATTTGTGAAAGTTTCCAATATCAGGTTTATTGCTGTTTAGTTGAGTCCTAAAGCACTAGCCCTGGAATTTTCAACACTTCTCTTAAAGTACTGTTCAAAAAATCTACAAGATCTCCATGTCAGGAATACTATTGCTATTAACAACCCCTTGTCAAATCTATTTCAATAGTTTTATATTAAAATTTCACTTGCATAAATATAAATTGTAATCTTTTCCACTTAATGTTCCGTCTTTTTGAGTTTTAAAAATCAACATTCATCAGAAGTTTATAGTATATAACTGCAATATTTTAATGGCTTGTCTCTGCAAGTAAGGGACTTAAAACTAAACAGTAGATGCACAAAAGGGACTGAAGCACGAAGTGACAAAATTTGAAGTGACAACATTATTTAAGTTTGTGCAGAAACAACTGGGACTTACTGTTCACTTAGATAACTGGGTAAGAAACCGGCACTTTAAATTCAGCGTTAACACAAGGAAAAATTAATTTGAATCATTCATAAATCTTGTTGCCTTTCTAAATGATAGAAGTGAAATCAGTTGTCTTGGGTCCTATTCACAATCCCAAATAAAACTTAAAATTTTGAATTCAGTTTCTATCAGTCATCTAAATAAATGGACAGAGGTTGCTCACAGCAAGGAGATCAGAAAAGTAATATGTCTTCAATAGGATATAATATAATCAATTAAATAGATAAAAAATAGACACCCTTCTTGGCTCATAATTCTTACACAAAGGTGACAGTACATTAAACTAGTTTTTTTAAAAAGGGAGGGGGAGAAAAAGGAATAGTTTTCTATGCAATGCATAATTATTGTTTTGAATTCACTGTCACAAGCCATGACCATAGCAAAGAATTAAAATATACATGTACAAGAAAATTAAAAATCACAGGTATACAGATTTAAAAGGTGTAGACAGGAAAAATTTCTTTGTTGCACTTCATTGAGAAGTAAAAATATTACCCCAGGGGAAGGACAAGATATTAATCCCAGGAAAAAGCCCTCTGCCGACTAATGTCATTTAGTAGTAAAATTTATACCTTTACAGTATTATTGCAAAAAACATGGTATTTTGACTGTCAAAGGTCATTAACTACTCAAGCTTCATTAAAGGAATAATTTAGTTCATTTGGGGTATAATTTAACAGATAAATAGCATTTTTAAAAGCGCTCTATTTCCCAAATTGGTCATTTGAACAGACTGAAGGCCAAAATAAATACAGAAAACTGTACTAGTGCAAGTTTCTTAGTATTCACATACAGATCTTCAGTTTAGAGACACCAACTACTGCAGCACAATACTTCATCATGCGTCAATGTAAATTCAATACAGAATAAAAGGCCATAGAGTAAACTAAGACAAGCGATGGAATCACCTGTATGCTAATATACTCATGACTTTTCTGCTTACTGACATCACACATACTGTCACCTCAGCTCTGCTGATGCTCAGGTACTAAGTGAACTAGATATTAATTGTGTCTATACCCATAGATTCAACATACAGAATTATTATTTTCCTATAGTTAAAAAAAAATCATCTGGCATAAAAATACTACTATACATGATGTATTGAGAATGTCAATTTGCTCAGTAATTTCTTTTTTTATTAAGTAATTGACTAAAACAGATAGTGTCTGCTTCATTTCTGATGGAAAGACAGTAACTAGAAATCAGGTGTGGGAATACTCTAAGACAGCAGCAAAACCTGCAGAGTAAGATTAAAGAGACTGAGTAAAAACATCTTTATCCTTCATGTCTCCAGAGAAAAACATAGAATCATAGAATAGTTAGGGTTGGAAAGGACCTTAAGATCATCAGGTTCCAACCACCCTGCCATGGACAGGGACAGCTCACGCTAAACCATGCCACCCAAGACTCCATCCAACCTGGCCATATAAATAATAAACTATTTAAAGATATTAAAAATGCTTTGAAGTAAAAGAAAACCATTTGAAGCATTTGAACTTTCACAACCATCAGTTTTTCCACATTTTGGTAACCAGTTTTCCTCATGACAGCCAGGGACAACTAGACTAGGAACTCTAAGTACTTGACAGTTGCCATGTATTTAGCACTGATATTTTACTCTCCTCATTAATTTGAAAGCACAAGCTGAGCAGGTTCAACTCTAAATTCTCATCTGGTTTACATCAGCATAGCTGCATTGACTGAAGTGGAAATGCACAGCAGATTTATGAATTAGTGAGTTCTCATGTAAAAGCAATACAATTTGTCATCAGTGAATATTACACCAGATTTCAAAGATCTACCTTCCTGCAACATAATCCAATATTTTACTTTTTACATGGATCATTTTTTTTTCAAACTTTCTGGCTATAATGAGTACAGGAAACACAGGAGACCTGTTTGCATCTAACAAAAAGTGCAATCTTGAACATTCAGTGCTTTAGTTCAGTGCTTTGCTCAATAGGTTCGTGATGTTAAGATGTGATCTGGATGGAAGGAATCCATACTCAGCAGAAAGCTGCTCACTTCATCAGGCTTATTCTGGCAGCTCTAGGGGCTCAGACAACTCTGAAGCGCTCTTTTCTGGTCACTGTTCTCACTTTCAGTTTAGCAATAATAATCAGTACCATTTTTCTTAGGCCAAATTTCCAAAAGTAAGGAAAATAGTAGAACATATTGCTTGGAGACATTTCTAAAGGTATTAGGCAATGTACAGTTTGCAGTTTGTTGTACACTTTCGTTCAGCGAGGGTGATAGACTGAGACATTCCTGTATTAATGCTATTTCCTTAGAGGCATCCCCACAAAGTTGAAGATATTTAGGAGG